CAGGCAACATCTTTGAAGAAACCCGCGTCGATAAGCCGCGGAACCCTTTGAAATCCATGTTGAAAGAAACCTGCACAACCATATTAGGGAGGAAGAAGAAAGAAGATAAGGGCTGGATCTCTGTGGATACATGGAAGCTGATAGAGGAGAGGAGGATGGTGAAGCAATAGATGAACCAATGCAAGGATGGACGACCAGAAGAGTAACTGAGTGCAATGTATAAAACACTGGACAAAGAAGTGAAGAAGATTGCGCGCATAGACAAAAGACACTATTATGACACACTGGCAAGTGAAGCAGAACAGGATGCAGGTAGGAGAGACCTGACAACATTGTATCAGATATGTCACTATCTGGAAGGGCAGGGATCAACTCAGATGAAACCAATAAATGATGATGAAGGAAATTTAATTACCAAAGAAGAGAAACAAAGAAAACGATGGGCTGACCACTTCAAAAAGCCCTCGAATCGACCACCACCTGCACTTTTTCCGGAAATACCACCTACAGCCCAGCCACAGAACTACAAGCGAACACAAATCCTCCAACGAAAGTCAAAGTCCTGAGCACCATAAAGCTACTGAAATGCGGGAAAGCAGCAGGACCAGATGGAATACCGCCAAAAGCACTGAGAGCAGGCGCAGAGGCAACAATGGACATGCTCACACCACTATTCTAGAAGGCCTGGAAGGAAGTAAAGGTGCCTAGCGATTGTAAGAAGGGTTACCTTGTAAAACTCCCGAAGGAGGCCGACCTAGGTCTTTGCAGGAACTGGCGCGGAATCACTCTCCTGTCCACCCACACCAAGCAAAATATTATGCCACATAATCCTGGAGAGACTAAAGGATGTGCTAGATTCCAAACTATGACCCGAACAGGCAGGCTTCAGGAAGTACAAATCATGTGCGGACCAAATTGCAACACTACTCTACGCATCATCGTGGAACAGAGTATAGAATGGCCGTCAGCTCCCCACCTCAACTTCATCGACTTTGAGAAGGCCTTTGACAGCGTCGATCGAGAAGTAATTTGCCAGGCAGCTGCTGCTTCAACACTACGGAATACCACAAACCCTTATCACCTTCATTCAACAACTATATGAAGATGCCACATGCCAGCCAAGTAATTCACAATGGGAAGCTCAGTGATACTTTTGAAGTGAGGACAGGAGTGAAACAAGGTTGCCTACTATCCCCCATGATATTCCTGATTGTGGTCGACTGGACTGGATCATGCAACAAACAGTGAGGAGCGAGAAGAGCGGGATACACAGGCTGGACCACGGAAATGAACCTAGAAGATTTGGACTTCGCTGATGACCTGTGTCTGATGTCGCACAAACTTGAAGATCCACAGGCGAAAACCAACAAGTTGGTAGAAGAGGCAAGGCAGTGAAGACGGGACTTCAAGGGAATATGGAGAAGACAGAGGTGATGAAGACACCCAACCAACAACTCCAACAACAAGAAGCTCCAATCACCATCAACGATGGAAACTTAAAGGAAGTCGTCTCCTTCACGTATCTAGGCAGCACCATTTCAACTGCAGGCGGCACAGACGTGGACATCAAAGTCATTATCGGAAAAGCAAGGCGGGCGTTCAGTGGCCCGAAATCAGTGTGAAGATCTTCTGCACTCAGCATGAAGCGTCAACAACATCCGGATTTCCAACGCCAATCCAGTCAAGTCAGTGCTGATATATGGTTCAGAGACTTGGCGCGTTACGAAAGGGATTTCCAACAAACTGCAGACATTCATCAACAACTACCTATGCTGTCTCGCTACTGAAGATCAGATGGCCAGAATAATGTGAATAAGCAACAAGGAACTCTGAGTGGCTGTCAACGAACCAACCAAGAACCTATCACTCAACAAATATTCAGGAGGAAGTGGAGATGGATTGGGCGTGCACTGAGAAGACCGACTGGGGGCATCAAGCGCCAGGCCAGGGTGTCGAGTGGAACCCAGATGGGAAGTGACGAGTTGAGCGTCTGAGGTGAGGGTGATATGGAGGAGATCGTGCGAGGAGGAAATGAGAGCTCGTGGGCTGTCGTGGAACCAGGTACAAAAGATTTCAGAGAACAGAGCGCATTGGAGATGTGCTACTGAATCCCGATATTCCTTTGGGATTTCGAAGGACTATAATAAAACAATCATAATTATTTGGAACAGCGTGACCTCTTTGTATCCGGCAGTTTCCGATATGTTGCGTAATCGCTACCATCGTATTGGAGTAGCCCGCATGGTAAACAGGATGCCCGTCTGAATGAAAACGAGGTCCGAATCCGCTTTGTTGTACTACTGAGAAGTGTGCGCTCAGAATTCCTCGCAAACATCTACACATCATATTGTCTTATTTTCCACACACTAAGACTCCTATTAATTGACTTCTTCATGCCAAAACGTCGTATTCAGAGGCCACTGCATACGCCCGTAGGCTTGACGACTGCTTGCTTCTTGTTTCCTAAACTGCCAATCAGACGTCTCGACTGATATGCTCCGCCGTTCTGACAAATAGTTTCAGCGCTATACTTTGCGTTCATCGTGCATAAAATTCACTGACTCTTATCCCGCCATGGTTTGTTGCTGCAAAGACAGATAATTGTCTTTCAACAACTCTTAAATCTAACTTCGATTTCCAATTTCGATTTTCTGGTTATTCTGTTCATATCCTGCTTCTCATTTACCTAAGTGCACAATAAATTATTTTGTACCCACGTTCCTTTTTCTTTCTCATAGACAGAATCATAACGAGACCGCTGCATACTCATTAATTTGAGGGTTCACCTCAAATTTATGGCCCCAGTTGGGATTATACCTAGAAATGTTGGCATTACATGCTGTCTGTACCCAAACATGCAGGTTCTCCGACTAATAGCACCCACTCACCTGATAGTGAAGAGAAGCAAAACTGACCTCATATAAAGCTCCGACCTTGAAGACATGCTGAATGGGCTAGTGATGAAATCTTACACTTCATTGGCCGCAAAATGGGAACAGTTTCTGGACTGAGCTACAACTTTGGATTAACTTATCCCTGTGAACTTGTTTCCAATGGCACAGAACCAAACAATCACCACATGCTGCATGATACCGTGTGGCACTGTTTCCAAGCTTTGTCATTGGTCTATACCATGATTTGAATCTAGTTTTAAATGCACTCTATGAACGGCAAAAACTTAATGATTATTCGCATTTTTTGGCCTAATTTACGCTCGGCACTTGATATTCTATGTATGTTTACTGATTATGCGACGCATTAACTGAAGTGTAGGGGCCTAATCATATTTGCCTGGTTAAAGCTCATGCTGGGTGATAAAGCCTGTGTTATTATTCACTACTGTTATGCAGCGAAAGGGTTAGCATCTGTTTTTAACCAGTAACAGTTGAATAACTGCATCTTGGCAGACTATGTATGGTGTAGTGGTGTATTCTTTCTAACTTTTCTCAGACTCACAAACAATAATAACATTCAGATATTGTCTGTACAAATGGCATGTGTTCGTATGATTTACAGTTTGAAATATATCATTGTTGTTAAAGTTGATGTGTCGACAGACTCGCCAATGGCAAAAGGCATCACTCTGGCAGCCAAACATAGGCTGGCTGCTGTCAGCCATTTTGGTTTCCTTTCCTTATTAGAATACCCTGTAACTTTTCTCGACTTAGCAGGGCACCTGACGACAAGCCGACATACCACTCTTCTGAACTCAGTGACAGATGATGACGCGTTGCTTCTCCATGACAAACGGGAGTTCTCAGCGGTTAAGTAAAACAGGGTCACACCTCACAGTCCACTGTCACCAAGACAGGAGTTCAAGTGCCTCCCACGGAGGTTAAACAGAAACAGCACAAATATTTTTCAACGCATGCCAGAGCTGTCTGGCAGTCAATCAGCTGAAGAGCAGTACCCCTATGACAGAAGAGTAACAATGGTTAACGGATGAAGGTGATGCTGAAAATTTTCCCACACATGGCAGGAGAAGACCTCCGAGGCTAGACGACAATTATAGTGTGAAATCGGACAGCCAAAATCTTCATATGGAGTCGTCAGCTCATAGAGCCTTTTCCAATCAGTCGTTTTGCATTGAAAATACGGGATAACACGCGAACCGATGCACAAATAACAGGTGGGCTGAAGATATGAAAAATCACTGAGATTCAAATCTAGAAAGGCCTGAAATAGCCAAGGACACTGTAGACACATTTGGGACCTTGTTTTTCGTATATATTTTTGATGCCGCAATGCACCTTTTGTTATTCTGCCACCTTTTCTATTTAGTGAGAACCGTACACCTGAATTTTGCTTCTTTTACCCTTAATTGTCTACTTTTACCCCTCATTATCGACTGAAAATCTACTTTACCCCTTTCCCCCTCCTTCAGCGCCCTCCAGAAACAGTAGCCCATCGATGTCTAATTTTCCCCTTTATTTCCAGATTTTTCTCATTCATTACATCGTTTTTACCAAAAGAACAGCTGTTCTTTGATTTTCTTCTACATCTCATTTACTATGATTCACGGATTGACTCGAGGTCAACATTATAATCATAGTTCTTCGTTATAATAATTTAAAGACCCAATTACCCTCCCTTTATTTATAACCGTCTTCCTTCACAGATAAAACGACATCTGAGTTGCACTTTCGCCAATGAAGATGTCTAGCACAACAAGCAGTTATCCAGCAAATAGACTTTAAGAAGAAGGACGAAATGATTAACTGCGTCCCATAGTTTAGAAACAGGTAAAATATACCTCCAGAAAACATGCACATCTCCAACTTTTAGCGATAACCTATAACAAGCCGAGGGATAACTTATGGCAAAACGACAGGACTGTCCAATCATTTCAGTTTCCTTCAATCACCAAAATGCTAACAAACCCAGTAAATTCTTAACTCAATGCACAAATACTTGTTTTAGCTTGATTTTAAGTCCTTCCAATTAGGAATAAAGTGTCGAATTAACAAGCCAGTTTTAATGTATCACAGCATTTGTTTTTCTGCAGCATTACCATCTTCGGTAATTGTTTCCGTATTTCTCGGTAGGACGAATTCGAAATCGCTATGTCTGGAAGAGGTAAAGGTGGTAAAGCGACTGCTAAGCAGACGAAGAAATCCCGATCTACTCGTGCTGGCTTACAGTTTCCAGTCGGCAGAGTTCACAGAATGTTACGTGTGGGTAACTACGGCGAGCGAGTAGGAGCTGGTGCTCCCGTATATATGGCAGCTGTTATGGAATACTTAACCGCTGAAGTTCTGGAGCTAGCTGGGAATGCTGCTCGAGACAATAAGAAAACGCGAATTGTTCCCAGGCATTTGCAACTTGCAATTCGTAATGATGAGGAGTTAAATACCTTACTCGGGAAGGTCACAATAGCTCAAGGAGGAGTGCTACCAAACATCAATAACGCTCTCCTGCCAAAGAAATCCACCGAACCTACCAAAAAGTCACAATCCCAAGAGTATTAATGTATTTTCCTATTAACAGATTTCAAATTATATGATATTTACCTAACACCTACTCTTCTAAAACATTCGTTAGGTTATAGGAAAACAGTAACGAGGTCTGTGAGCTACCCTGAGAAGTGCAACTCGAAAAAAACGCTTGTATGTGTTTGCAAGGCTTAACCAGTTGATGTCTTCGCAGTATACGCAATCGTGGTTCCAACAAGTGGTCTTCATATCAGATAAGATGTTCCTATCACACCACTGGTGCAAGTACGTGTTTGAAAGCTTCAGTTATGTCTAGAAGTCTGTAGGTACTTGGTGTGCGTTGGTTGGTCTGTGTACGCACATAGCAACTGGCTTCACCCAACGATTTTCCGTAATTGAGAAGCAGGGGCTCATGACAAGGAAGTTTGTTTGAAGAGAGAAGTAAGTGCTTTCCGATGTGGCGTCCAACTAGGTTGCTTGCGTCAGGTTTGAGTGAGGGAAATAACATGATATCGGGTTACTCGAGTGTTATCCTGTCTCAAGCTATTGCCTACTTGAGTTCCCCTGTTTTATAGTCCGTTGTGTAAGCGGCTGTTTGTATTTCGCTTTAGCCCTGGTGTCGTAACTGTGTCATGTCTAAGCTTCTAACGCGGACGCCAATCGCCTGTCAGAAGTACCTCTTGGGAATTGAGATGAAAGTCGCTACGACCCATATTTCATACGTTTTGATATGCCAGGAGTTTTCTGAAGGATAATCCGGCGATTTTTAAAAATGGCTCATTTATAGGGCATTATTGTTTGCGATTGGAATTGGCTGCGCAGTTCTTGTGAATATGCTGAGGAATTTCGTCTACTGGGTTGTGTAATTTTTGGCGTGCTACATAGTGTATAGTGTCAACGTACTGACTGTATGTCGCAGTGAATAGAATGACTGTCATTAAGCTAAATACGTAACTTGATTTTGGGTGCATCTGTCGAATCTCTACCTATTGTATACTTCTTAGTGTTTTCATCTACCTTCACAATATTCGAAGTGAAGATTACGTATTCGAACTTGATAGGAAATCCAGTTGTAGATATCCGCGACAAACTACTAAGTGTGTATTCTGACAGGTTTTACCGGTAAACTTTTCCAAAGAGTATAAAAATAAACTTCGTGAACGTGCTGGTCTGCGTATGCCTGTAGTTACTGATGTGCGCCTAAGGTAACCGCTAGCTAGGGAAAATCTGTTAACAGTAAGAGCTATCTGGTTATGAAGGGGTTTCTACGTAGTAGTTGTTTTATTTGTCGGTTAGGGTAGTGGTAATACTAAGGTTCTTGATTTGAGAAACTTTTGCTCATAGGTAACACTCCCAGACTATCGTTTCCTTTCGAGAATGTGTAAATATTTTCCCGGAGATAAGTGAAATATATTTGAAATTCGTTAGTGTTTCTAGTTATTAAAGCCTTGTTCTTGGACCATTAGTTTCGCATAGGAGCGGATATGTGGAATTCCCCGGGATCTTTTCTGATTAATAATTATATTCATTTCAGTTTTAGCTGCATAAAATAGATAAGGTTCAGATACAAATCGTAAATCTGTTATCATTACGAAGAATGTAGAGATCCTAGCCTAAGCTTTTACGTACTAGTTTGTATGGTTTTTTCTTAGTTCCTTATACTAACCCTTTTAAGTGTAGCACCTCAATGAAAACTAGCCTTTTATGCTCTAGGCAGCTTGGAAGTATCAATCAGCCATATGCTTCGCTCAAAAAACGAGATTTAAACAAATCTGACCTACCCCCTGTCTTCGCCTTCATTTCCTAACGTCACTGTTGTACCTAATACAACTTCCTCAACCTCTCTTTGCTTGCACTCCCAACGATCCGAGCCATCGAAACACCATTCCTAGTCTCCTAAGACTCAGCTGTCGATTTCAAGTAGGAGTTGTCAACGTTCGAACCCTATGCCAATATGGACAACAGATCTCTTACTGGGTCCGTATGATCTCGAACCGTGGATGTATGCTGTGTTCCGTAAGACACGTATACAGGACTTCAGTGTGGTTAATCATCTGACCTGTGTGGTGAGTTTTTAAAGTCCGCTTCACGAGCATCTAGAGAGCCAGTGGCTAGCTCTCATAGACTCGCTAATATAGGCATAGCATTACGTTGTAGAGCATGAGGCGCACTTCGTGACTGAATATAAGTTAACAGCCGTCCATCTGTTGTTTAACTGAATGGGTCTGTAAGGAAGGACCGTGAGACCAACCTCCGACTACGGTTGGGATGATGCAAAGGATGAATTCTATGGGATGCTGTCGATTTTACTACATAAAGCGAAATGTTCAGATGTAATCATAATAGCAGGTGACTTTGACGTTTAAGTAAGGAAGCTCAGGTAATCAGAAAGGCACCTTGGAGGTATCTACAGAATTCCATACCAATAAACCAACAACGGCGATTGCCTGTTACAATTTTTTTCCGACAGTCACTTGTTTTTGGCCGCCACTAACCTTAAGCATAGGTAGAGGCTGTCTCACATGGCATCCGCCGACGTTGGACCAACGAAAGATCACGTTTGTAATAACTCATCGTTGCAGAGGATCAGTGAAGGATTGCCGCTCATTCTGCGGTATCTGCTTGAACTCGGATCACACATTAGTACGGGCTCGTGTATATCGATTGAAAGGTGAGAACACTACTTACTTACTTATGAAGTAACTAAGCACTTTTCTGAACGTGACAGCAGTGCTCATACTGAAAGAACCTGGCATGATATTAAGTCTGCTGTAGAAACAATGGTAAAGATGGTTGCGAACCTACAACGAAAGGTTAGTGAACGTCAATGAATTTCCGCAGCCTCGTACGAACTGGTTGATGCGGAAAGACTAATTCCATTTGGCTGTGACTTCGATGAAGAGCAAAGCAACTCAAACATAAGTTGACCAAGAGTCTTCGCAATGCTTGCTATCCGTGGTGGGTGGCTGGAGCCAGAGAGATGAAGAAGGCCTCATCGTTATGTAAAACTCACCAAATATTTTAGCTTACTAAGGATACCGGCAAGAAGCATACGATGGTTAGCAAAACCATCAATGAGGAAGATAGGATCCTAATGACCTCTCGGGTTAGATGGCAAAATGTTTGGGCTAAACAATTTGAAGCACATTTCAGCTAGCCCCCAGCAAAGCTTCAGTTGCCCAGCATCCAGCCTGAATGTGCACAACATACATGTCGGTCCTCCAACTCTCTTTGAAGTTAAGAAGGATGTATCAAAACTGGAACGATTCAAAGTAGCAGGATCTGACAATTCGCCACTTTTTTTCTAAGATGGAGGTAATAAATCGCTAATTAAAGTGATAGAGGTAATACGTAGTGAATGGGAGTCCGCGGTAGTACCGTCAGACAAGTGTACTTCACTGACCATTCCCGTCTATATGAAGAAAGCGAAGTCGTCTTGTGACAGCCATACAAGAGTAAGTTTGAATAATATTGAATCCAAGATCCTAGAGCCCATAGCTATCTGACGCCTAACTCGTGCTCAAGAACAGCAAACTGGAGAAAACCAGGCAGGTTTTAGACAGAGTTGGACGAGGGTGCATCAATCATATTTTTACCTTCCGACAGGTTCTGGAACAGAGATATACTTACTGGAGGCCGACATTTTCCACATTTATTGATTTGAAGACAGCATTTGAGTTCTTCGATTGTGACGTGTTATGGCAATCTGAATGTGAAGAGAGTACCGAGCAAGCGTATAATGCTTAAAAATGATCTCTACTTGAGCTCACACAGCCGCGTATTGGAAGGCGTATGAAGAGTTGTCATCAGAATTGATGAAGACTAGAGGTATCTGCCAGGGATGCCCATTATAATCGTTTCTATTTAATTTCGTTATACATGTATTGATGGACATAACTTTAGGTACCTCTGACTTCAGTAAGATTGATTTACTCCCTGCAGATCATCTAGTTGACTTGGAGTATGTGGGTGATATTATCCTGCTAGGTGAAGATCCTGACAAGGACAGGACCTTCTAAATGCGCTGAGCAGAAATCTAGGTATGTTAATCATAGATTTCGCTGGCACCTATCAAATGTAAGATTATGCTTCAAGAATGGTCTTAAACTACTTCCAGTTTGACGGTAAGGAGTGAAGTAAAGGAATCTGTCTACCATTTCACTTGGTTAGCTGCATCAAGCCTCACGGCCTGGTTGTTGACGAGATCTCAGCTAGCATACGCAACACCCGTTTACACTTGTCATCTCACGTCATCTGTGGCGCCGAATAGCGAGATATCCGACTACCTATTAAAGGACAAGTACAGCGAGCTACAGTTCCTGCTGTCCTGTTGTACGGCTGCCAGACATAGCCGTTAAATGTGGAAGAAGTAAAGCAATTGCAGAGTTTTGACCATGGTGTCTTCGTAGCATTGCTCACGTTTTGTGGACTCAGCGTGTGAGCAATGTTGAGGTCAGGTGAAGGGTACTAGGCAAGTCGATTGCTAAGCTTGTTAACCTTCATTGGCTGAGGTGTCTTGCGAATGTGTTGCTCATGCAGAGTCGCCGCCTACCTTGCTAGGGGTAGTTGGACTAGGTTGGAAGCAGGTTCACGATGTTCAGATCAAGACATGGCACTATTACATGAAGTCCCTGACTGTTAGTGTGAGATGTGGACTGCTAGGCTGGGGTCCACGAGCCGATTTGAATCAGTTTTTGAGAACTCTAGGGAAATAAGTGATAGTCGGTCTCAGTGGCACGGATGTATTCACTTTTTGAAGTCCTCTAAAGCTTGAATACTTCCACTATTCGTTATCTTCAAATTGTTTATTCTGTCACATAACTTTGTCTACTTTGATATCACTTATTTTCTATCCGCCTGTTCTTTACATACTACTGTGAATTGTGGTAACTTTAAGTGATGCACTTGTGTGTGAGGTTCTGCTTTAATTCTGTCTGTCTGTCTATTCGTCATTTGCTACATCAAATGTGCTGTGCGTTACTAACGGTACTTCTGAGACGTGAACGATGTGTCGTGAAGTACTTGGCTCCGGTGACACCCCAAAGGAGGCTGTACACCATCCATAACGTATTTAGCAGCG